ACTGTTTCTCCAGGGCGTTCTCCAGAAGCTAAGCCTGCTGCCTGGCGTCTGCACCTGCCCCATCCCCCTCCCCACAGCCTTGTCACTACTGCTCTGAATGGCAGGCCCCATCCCACGGCTACTCTCGGGGTACTGGCCCAAACTCATATCTGTACTTAGCATGGCACAAAAGGTCGGAAATAGCTTGGGCTGGGCCAGGGTCTCTTCCTCACCCTCAGCTCTATTCCATGCCACCCTTGAGCCTTCTATACAAGGGCTAGTCGTTCTTCAAACATGCCAAGCACTTGCTGTGTCCTGGAGGCTTTCTCTTTTCGTTTCCTCTCCTGAATGTGTCCGTGCTTCTAGGGGAGGCTGCATGCAGGGTTAGGACTCAGCTGCCACCTGCCCTGGGCAGATAGGCTGGCCTTGGGAGCCAGGTGTGGCATATGGTCCTTCACTAGTCTCTCAAGCTGCCATTCGAGGTTCTCAAAGGTGCTTCCGTGTTAGTCACCCAAGTACTTCTATGAACTAGATATAAGTGTCACTTGAAGGAAAACTACGGGAAATGACACAGGTCTTCCCAGTATTCCCACCCACAGGACATTTAGACACTGTTTTTGACAGGTGATACTCAATTTAACATCAAATTGAAACAATTGGCAAGGGGTGTGTGTGGGTGTGTGGGTGTGTGTGTGTGTGTGTGTGTGTGTGTGTGTGTGTGTAAGAGAGAGAGAGAGACCCAAATAGTGCTGAGTGGCAAGCCTGCAGCCTCCAGTACCCCGGGTTTTCTGGTTTAATGTAGCAAGCTGCTTTATGAGATCTTCAGCCACTTGAAATATGATTTACTACATGTAAAAAGTTTCAGATGGATAATGAAGATTCAGGATTGAGACTCACAGTGTAGTGTAGTCAATTTTCTTGCTGTTGCTCTCCAGTACATCTCTGCCATTGAAATGAATAATTTATTATAATTTATTTCAACCCTGGAAAATAAAACTGTTTTCCTTGTGATGTGTGCTATAGCATTCAGAATAGACACATTGCATGCAGTACTCTCAATTAATTAATCCTGAAGTTTCATTCTTACTTGACCTTCTCATAAGCTAGGAGACTGGCAGGTAATTCTTTCCCCAATAAGCCATGATTAAAATGAATGTTTTGAGAAGTAGGGACAAAGTTGGTAATGGAGAAAATTGAAAGAACAGCAAAGCTGGGTTGTGTTTTTCCTTAGATTTTACATTCAATGCAAGAGTTTTTAAATATTCTAGACAATTCATCACTTAGAGCAAAAGCTTCCCTTAGCTTTCTGTGAGGGGCCTGTGGAGGGCACTGTCTGTTTCTGTGTGAGCAACTGCTGCTCATTTGTGACCGAAGCTAGCTGACCTCACTGGGCCTGAGGTGACTTGAAAGCACTTTCTCCCAATTTCAGATCCAAGCTAACGCTGTGTGAAGGCCAAGTAGAAAGGACTCCCGGATAGCCTCTGGGGAGCCGGGCCACCCATAATTGATTGAAGGCTTGTTCTTCAGAAGAGGAGGCTCACCTCATCTCGTATTTCATCCAATTGTTTTTCATTTTAAATGCTAAATACTTCAATTATGAGACTGCAAAAATAATATCAGCATGTAGAGATTGCTTGATACGTACAGATATTTTAAATTTAGTGTAACTTAGGTGATGGGCCTCAGTTAATCTGGAGGGGCAGAAAAATATACCGAAATATGTGCGTATTTATCCACTGTTCATTTTTCATAACATCTACTAATATCACAAAGGAAGATGGCAGATGAAGGAACAATTGATTCTCCTTCCCTAAAGACGTCTAGTATCTAATTTGAGCAGGATCACATTTCAATATCTGCTGTGCATGTGGCCTCGGAACAGCACTCGGTAATGACAGAAATTCCCTTCCTCCAGCGCACTGAAAACCTGGAAGCATTTCCACCTTCAGCTGTGTTCTGTCTCCCTGACCCTGACCCCTGACTGGGGCAGGTGCTCTGGAGAACCTGCTGTGGAGACAGAGAGATGTCACTACTTTCTCAAATCCGATGCGTTACTCAGGCGGCTGGGTGGGGTGAGGTGCTTCGCTTTGTTTCGTTTTGTTTATTATTTGTGTTACTGGTAAGGTCCGTCTTCCTCTCCTCTCTCACTGGCCTTCTGAAAGGCTGGTGCATTCCCCAGGCGCAGGGTAGCTCTTAAGAGTTGGCTGCATTTATTATTAGTTGTTCCTCAGAACACCATTACCACAGTCAGGACAGTGTAGCTCGGCTGGGGTGTGGATTAACACACAGATCAGCCTGTCCGGCCGGCACTGGACCCTTGCTTGTCTTTTTCAGTCTCCCTTCAGCCATCGAGGGCTAGGGCACAGAGCTGTTCTCTGCTCCCTCACTCCGTGCCCTGGCCTCGTTAGCCCTCCTCTGTGTTAACCAGAGGATAAAGCCTGTTTCCCACCTGCCTCACTAGCAAGGGGCCAGGGGCAGGGAGGAAAGAGCTGGAGTTCCCTAAGTAGACTGAGAATCTCGTCCCTGCAGGGCCAGCACATATCCTCTCAGGACTGGTTTTCCTGTGGGATACAAATGGGGACAAAGTGGGAATCTTAGTTATGTTTTGTTTTGTCTATTTCTTACAACTTTACAGAATATGTTTCAGTTACAGTATTCAGCATGCTCAAGTGCTAGCCATGGAAACACTTACTTTATAGGAAATATTATAACCTAGAAAAAATTAGCCTAATGTACTGATTTCCATGGTGTTAATTTAAATTAAGATACTCTCAGTGGGAGGAGAACCATTATTTTCCATGAAATGTTCAGTGTATCAATTTCCAGAGATATTCCTAAGTTTGCTATTCATTCACTTTCACGGTCTGTGACTATAGTAACTAAATTTGTAAACATTTTGGCTGGGAAGCAGAAAGATTTGCTAAAGACATTTCAGGAGCCATGCCCTGGATTTTAATCATGGGACTTCAACATCTACATGACTCAGCAGCCAGAAGCCACCGGAGCAGACAAGGGTGGCATGTCCAGGAGGCCGCTGAGGGTGGGAGAGCGGGCCTTCCTGTCAGTCTTCTACAAGTCTGCAGGAAGAGCCAGTCACTGCCAGGTGCTTTGAGCCTCAGAACAGCCTGAGGCGTGGTGGCCACAGGCTGGCCCTGTGAATTCAAGCAGACCTTTGCATATGACCTGAATTAGCCTTTACACCCTAGCAGTGCCTTGACCAAGTGAATTCCCTGGGACCTCAGGCCCTTAGTGTATATAAGTGCAAGACAGATAATGCTCTCCCCAGGGTTAGTAGAGAATGGAGGCATACAAGTGCCTGGCAGTGTGCTGAGTACCCAGCAGACTCCATAAACGATGGCGAGAAGACTCATCAGGCACTGTGTACTACTGGGTAAAAATGGTGAGGCCTCAGACTTTGGCCTGTGTGACCTAAAAACCCCCAGCCACAGCCCTTCCTGGAATCTCCCAGCTTAGGGTTCAGTATGTTTTCGAAAACAAGATCCTTGGAAGTGAACTGTCTGTTACAGTTTAGATGTTTAACCATTTCATGTGCTGGCCATAAATTAAGGCCACAAGTTCAGTTTTCTGTGTAGTGCTCTTCACTTTAATTGTCACTCACTGTCTTAGCAGGACAGTGCCCAGTGTAAGCTAGCACTTGGCAAACAGTAGAGCGTCTCCTCAGTGACTGCTTCGTGGCCCAGAGGGATTGCGGGGGATCTGCTCTGCTCTGTACTTGTAACTCAGGCCCTTGTCAGGGTATGGACAGAGATCACACATCCTCACTTCTCCTTCTTGGCCATACATTTGTAATTTTGTGCTTAAATGTGTTTACATGATTACAACAGAGCACTCTGTTCAAATCCATGCTAATACCCCAGAGAAGCAAATGGGGTACTTTCTGGCCTTGCTCCTACTCAGGGTTATTTTTACAACTACAACCCTGCATGAAGTTAGATAACTTTGAGGAGACCATAGTAATCTCCTTCACCTCTCTAAGCAAGATGTGAGTTGGTATTCTTCCTTGAGCCATTCAATTCCATTGGCTTAGGCCAGAGGGAAGCTACAGTTTCAGTATGGGAACATTATGTTTAAAGCATAGTATGTGGCAAACACAATCCAGATGTTTGGTTGTACATAGGAAATCATTTCTCACAGCATCCCTTTCTCATCACCTGTCACAGTCCCTACTCTATATCTGAGGACGTCAAGGCAGATGCCATGGGTTAAACAGCAGGGCCAGACTTGGGCTCAGTTCTGAGTCTAATGCCTGTGCTACCACATCATTGAACAAATTTCCAGCCAAAATCTGTAAGGAGGAACCAAGTGAGGAATGAAGAATCAAATGAAGTCATGTAGAGTATGACTTTCCTAAGTAGACAGCTCCCCTTCCAAGGTAATCCCATCCCTGCTTTGGCAAAACAGCTACTTGGATAACATCAGTGGGTTATGTGTATAGTTTGGAGTATAGGCCCTGGCAAATGCAGCCAAAGTGCATTTAAAACGGCCTTCCACCTATCCCTGCAGCAATGTGGGGGTGAGTAGACCCTGGAGAACTAGATACCAGCTACTGTACCAAGTACTCATGGCTCCTGGTGACAGGATGTGGGCTGGGGGGTGCAGAGCCAAGACTGCTCCTTTCAGTGTTGACTCATTGTGTCCTTGGCCTCAGAGACCACCCATCTAAACCTCACACTCATTGTGTCCTTGGCCTCAGAGACCACCCATCTAAACCTCACACTCATAGTGTCCTTGGCCTCAGAGACCACCCATCTAAACCTCACTGCCTGTAAGGGAAAGGGGCTGTACTTCAGCATCGCACCCAGTATCCCCCCATTGGTGGGGAAGAGAACTCAGATGCCAGAGAAATTCACCCTAGTGGTTGGACTGTTTTACCACTACTCTAAGATTATTAGGAAATCTGGAAATTGACTGCCACATCAATGCCATTTAAGAAGATTACTAGGTACTTTATGTATTTCCAGAAAAGTAAAAAAGAAAAAAAATCATCCATTTTTGCCAACTTTATTTTTAGAAAAGTATTTTATTCAAGCCTCTCCTTACTTATTACAGACATAAATACATGCATTCAGACAAATGAATACACGAGAGGACCGTATAAAGTAATTGGCACATCACTCCAGGATGCTTTGTCAGTTACTGGAAGAATTTGGTGCCTCTAACTTTAATCTTCTCCATTAAAATATCCATTCTGCTTCAGATTGTGAAGCCCATAATATTTTAGACTGTCTCCGTGGATCTGTTAGTTTTGCTTGTCAATTTAATTTGTACTCTATGACTTTGGGTGGCTTGCTAGATTGTTCATGGGAACTTGTGATCTACAAAGGGTGCTGAGCATGGAGTTCTAGCCCCTCGGAGAGCCTGGGCATGCGGGGTTTGTGTTTGTGTATAGATTGGCAGATCTCGTTTGTAGCCAGCCTGATCACTGTGATGGTGGTGGAGGGCGTGGCGGCCGGCAGAGCTGCAGAGCTGCAGAGCTGCGCGTTACTGTCGGATGCTGTGCCTGCAGTGGCTGCAGGATGTGTGCTTTGCAACAGTCTTCAAACACCACCGCATTTAATTCTCAGCGCTTCCTTGGGCGGGATTATTTCCCTCTTCAGAGCTAATGAAAACAGACACAGCAAGAGCAGTTACTTGCCGGAGATCATAGGATAAATTAGATCACCAAAAACTTGTTTGCCAGGGGCAGGGAGATGGCCCAGTAGGTAAGCACTTGTGCAAGCATGAGGGCCAGAGCTCAGACCCCTGGCAGCTGCATGACTGTGTAGGTGCTGAGTGTGTGGCCCGCCCCCACCTCTTACTCCAGGACTTGGGAGGCAGGCAAGCTGACCAGCCAGACTGGCAGTACCTTCAAGCTGTGGGTTCAGTAATAATTAACTTACTGCTTCAACAAATGATATGGAGAGTTTGAGGAAGATACCCAACTTCACCCTCACATAGTACACATATAAGTACGCACACACGTACGCACACACATTACAAAAAAGAGAGGTTGCCAAATGATAGCACCAAATGCATTCAAAGCAAACCAAGTCATCAAAGCCTAGTTGGGGTGGTTTTTGTGGGGTCTTGCCGGGTAATTGTCCTTTCATCTGTCCTCCCTGGGCAGGAGAGCTTGAGCTATGGGAGCAGACAGGCTGCTGCAGTGGAAGAACTGAGCCCACTTCCGAGCATTTGCCTGGGCTGCTGTAGTGGCCTTACCCCTGGCCTGTTGTGTCTCCTGACCAGGGCACACTCCACATGTCTCCCCTTGGTCACAAGCCCGTCACTAGCCACCGGGCCTTCAGGATGAAGTCCAGATTCCTCAGCGTGGTCTTCCATTCTAGCCGCGGGGTCCCTTACTATTGCCGAGCCCACCGTGTTCGTTCCCACCTTCCTTTTACCCCTCTGTCTGCTTATGAGGAACTCCTTAGATGTTACCTGCCCCATGGCACTTCCCTGACTGCCCTTGAACAACTTAGAGGCATTCTTTCCCCCTCCACAGGCTGCTGCTCTTTTCCTAGATCTTTTTCCCACTGTTTCTCTCAATGACTTCCCTAGAAGCTTTGAGGCCCTAGATAAGAGACTGGTAGACGCCTATGTCCCATTACCTCTTCCATGTGCCTTACAAACTCGGAAGTGAAGAGCCTGGATAAGTATGTGCATGTAGCATTGAGTGAGTAATGAAGAATGGTTTTAAAAACAACATGTTTCCTGAGCTAGCAGGAAACATGCCATTCTGGGATCACATGGAAAGTGTTTTATTCCACCCAGTGATGAGCTACAGAGAGATGTCCCTTCATAGCATGAACTGTTCAATGAGGTGAGCAGCAGACAAGAAGGTGATCTGGGCATTTACGTGGTGCCTAGCGCAGAACAAAGCATATAAGACTTGAAAAGCAGAGACTGAACCCCCTGGCTCTGGCCTCTGACTTCTGCTCACCAAGAAGGTTCTCACCAAGCTTTTGGTGGTAGACTCTTCCTTGGGGGAAGAGGGGATTTGCCCAGAGTTTGGTAGCCTTCTCAGCTTCCGGTGTGAGAGCTGACTGGTCAGGAAAAGCCCTCTTGTCGTCAGGAAGGTGGAAGGGTGGGAGGAGCACATAGGAGGAGTCTGGATTCAATCTAGCTCTAAGCCAAGGGTCCCCATTTTCATGTGACTCTGTCTTCTAGATGATGTCTGTCCTTATGAACACCATTGTCTTTGAAGACTGTCGGAACCAGTGGTCAGTATCCAGGCCTCTCCTGGGGCTCATCCTGCTCAATGAGAAGGTGAGTGTGCTTTCAGGAAGGGCCGCAGGAGGAGGGAGAGGCTCTTAGACACTGAAGGCCACGGGGTAGAGAGCTGGGGCCTTGACAACCTGGAAGGCCTTTCCCCAAAGGCTTCAGGTCTTCTTGAGTTAGCAGAGGCCACAGAGGCCCACACTGCACTGGCTGTGTGGATTGCTTGGCAGTATTTCAAAGTCACTTCCCTTCCCTTGCCATTCCAGGGGAATTCTGAGCAACAGTCCTTTTGCCTTCTCCTCCAGCCTCCCTTTATACCTGGGGACCCCAGACACGATCCACAGGAGATGACAGCAGCAGCCCTTGAGGGACTGTGCATAGGGCCAGTATCCTTCATCCGGGGAGCATGCACCTCGGTCTCCTCGGTGCTCTGGCCACCCGACCGCCTCCCAAGCACCCTGGCTTCCTTTGGAACTCGCCCTGGCCTCTCAGCAGTCAGGAGGAAGAGTGCATTACTGCTTGGAAGAATGAATTGTCTATACAATAAGATAGTACTGGGAAAAAGACAGTGAGATTAGAGGCAGCCGCATACATTAAAATTCAAACTAAAATCCCAGCCTTGGAAGGAAACTAATAGAAGAAGAAAATACATCAAAAAGAGAAGAGCTGTCTCATCACTCACCTGTGCTGAAGTATCCAATTTTAGCCACATTCAATAGCACTGCCATTCATCTTCCCTCGGTGTTATTGGGATTTAAACCCAAGCTCTATGAAAGAGAGCAGTGCTTTTAAAATGATTGAGAGGGAATAAGGGCAAATTCGGTGTTTAGAAAAAGCTTATGACATCACAATATTATACTTTACTGATGGAGGCAATATTTCATGGTTTAGGATGAAAAACTAATAATTTTCTATTTGGTGTGAGTCACTGCATCATTATAAAAGGGAAAAATAAGTCGTTTTGTGCATTCCCAGTCTTGTTCAGGAAGACATTGTGGTTTAAGTATAATGCCTCTGATATATAGTATTTAAGTATTAGTCTGACTACATATTAATTATGTGTGTTTTTTGATGTGAGCTGTTTTAATGTATGATGGAAATTAAATATCATACAGCTTGCTTGAAGAGATAAACAAATGACTGGCAAGATGTTGTCTTTTGCCGAGAATCGGCTGTTTCCAGTGATTAGGACCTCTGCTCAACATCAGAGCTTATTTTTGTATACAAGACCACAGACCCCAGCAGAAAAAGGTGGGGGGCTGAGCAGTTATTTGTGACCAGGTATGACAGATACTATTCGTAATGCCAGGAAGTGCTCCCAGAACTAAGTAGGCCCCTCTAGTGCCTGCCTCAGCAGAGCAGACCCATGTAACCCAGAAGGACAAAGTTGGAACACAGCCCAGAGCTCTTTGAGAAGTGATTCACTGAAGCCAGGAAAGATGATGAGGCCGAAGGGGAGACCCATGGCTGGGCCTTCAGTCATCCCAAGTGTTCCCTGGGCATTAAGTTAAGTCCTCCTCAGCCTGGGGCCCTTCTTCTTTCAGCCTTCCTGGGACAAGTAGAATTGAGACCCCAGGAGGCCAAGTTCAGTCTCCCACAGAGGAGGCAAAGACTCTATCAGGCTAAGCAGGGCCAATACAGCAGTCACAGGCAAGAGACTCTAAGAGCAGGGGTGATACAAGGTACACCTAGAAATGCTTCTGCAGCTTAAGTTTTCTCTAAGGATAGAAAGTTCAGTGTGAACCTGGATGAAAACCCCTGAGCATCAGTGAGCGCAGGTAGACCCCAGCTGGACGGGTCTCTTGCAAAGGTTTGGAGTTGGAACCTGCACCTGACACTGTTCTGTCTCCCAACAGTATTTCAGTGAACTGAGAGCAAGTCTGATAAACAGCCAGCCTCTCCCCAAGCAGGAAGTCCTTGCCCAGTGCTTCAGGAACTTGATGGAAGGAGTGGAACAGAACCTGTCTGTCAAGAACAGAGACAGGTGAGCATTGCCCAGTGGGGCATCTCGAGGGGCATTCAGGCTTGCTGAAAACAATTGGACTGTAGTTAGCACAGCTCCAGATTGATGCACCTTTCCGTTACACCTTGTGATCCTAGACCCAGGTCAGTTCCAGTCACTACACTTTGCTGGGTATTTGCTCATAGATGCCAAGATTTTACAAATACAGCCTTTGCCCTTAAGCAGTTTATAATCCAACAGGAAAGAAGTGAAAAATAATTAATTGGAAAACAAATGAAGGGGAGCTCACATTATCCACGGAGTTGAGGAAAGACTTCTGGCCTTTGAACAAGCACAGGCCTCGAGGGTGGACAGACCTCAGTTAAATGTTACCCCTGCATAAGCTGTGTGACAGAAAAGCAGCCACCTCTCTGCTGGTCTCTTCACAGTAAGAAGGAGCCGGTGACAGCCTTGGCTGTGGTGCCTAAACAACAGACGGTCATAAAGCCAGCGAGCTGTTAAGTGTTGGTTTCCTCCTCTGCCTGTCCTTTAAGAGTACCGATGTCGGCCAGGCATGGTGGCACATGCCTTTAATCCCAGCACTCGGGAGGCAGAGCCAGGCGGATCTCTGTGAGTTGGAGGCCAGCCTGGGCTACCAAGTGAGTTCCAGGAAAGGTGCAAAGCTACGCAGAGAAACCCTGTCTCGGAAAAAAAAAAAAAAAGAGTACCGATGGCATTGGCCAGTGAGATCTAACCAAACTCATTACTATGAATGAATCATTTATTCAGTTTATAAAACTGTAGGCATTTGGAACCCATGGTAAACAAATTGTTCCAAGTTCCTGGCCTCATGGAACTTACATCTAGAGGATGAGACAGACAGTAGTCACTGATAAGGAAGAAAACGTGCTCAGGGAAAAACTACCCCCCTGACCTTTCATCAAACACTATAGCATTTGCAGGACAGACACACTGTCGGTGTGGCCAGGTCTGAGCTGTGGTAATAAAGCAAGGTCAGCTGGGGGTGCAGACACCTTCTCCTGGCCGTTCATCGAAGCCTCAAGTAATCCTCTCCCATCCAGAATGGGACGAGCTCAGACACTGGAAAGGAGAGGCGGCTGTTGAAGTAGCATTCCTGAGCTGCTCTGGGAGGTGGTACGGCCGTCCTCTCAGTCTCGTGAAGGAGAGGCCACACGGACTGGCTGTCGTCCTTATGCCAGCACTGTGTTGAGAGACTTGATCAGATTCACTCCTGCATTCCCTCAAGACAGTAGTTACTCACATTAGGTACCATAACAAGTGGTTATTCATTCAGGCTGCCTAACTGGTAGTGGTGAACCAAAATTTGGACCCAGTGCCTCTTGTTAGGTTTTTTAACAGTGTTATATAGCCTAGGCTGGTCTCAAACTCAGTATATAGAAAAGGATAATTTTTTATTATTGCATTTATTTGGGGTTGGAGGTATCAGAGAACAGCTTGGCAGGAGTTCGGTCTCAGAGACCTAACTCAGGTCATCAGGCTTGACAACACCTGTGTTAACCTGCTGGCCCTTCTCACCGGCTCCAAGGATAACTTTACATTTCTGATCCTCCATTTCCTAAGTGCTGGGATTACAGGCATGGGCCTGTGCCCAGTGTATGTAGTTCTGGGAATCAAACTGCCTAGTACACAAGTATTCCACCAAACTGAGTGCGTGCACACACACACCCACTGCACAACTGTACTCTTCTAAGAGGGTTGCACCACAGTAGTGCCAGCTCGCCTCAGACTGAAACTCAGGACCCTCTACCTCTGCTTTCTGACTGCTGGCTTCACAGACATGAGCAACCACTCTCCACTGCCTCCTCCTCATTTTCCATTCACTAAATTCTGTTTTAGTGAGGGTTCTAATACCCACCTTTGGGAAGATGAGTAATGATTAAAGTAGTCCTATGTAAGCTCAATCCAGTATTTGAGACATAGTGTAAAAATTGTTTTCATGATTTAGATAGTAGAGCTTCAGATGCTCCCTCTCCCTAAACTGTTGAGAATGGATTTGGTGGGGACTCTTGTTTCAGGGGGTGGGTGGCGCTGGTAGCAGGAGAGGGGGCAACGTGGACGCCCAGCCCTGAGGAGCCTCCCTGCAGGAGGGTCCTGGGTCCCGAGCTCCACGGCGCCCTTCCTCCAGCTCTCACGTGGCCTGCACCTTCACCGCTTCTCTTCCCACAGGTTCACACAGAACCTCTCTGTCTTCAGAAGAGATGTGGCAGAGGCCCTGCGTAGTGATGGCAGCCCTGAACTCGGCAGCTTGGACATGATGAGCTGACCCAGCTCCTGAGCATGTGCTGTGCTCCTTCGTCAAGAGACTCTGCAAGGCCTGGGGCCCAGACTGCGATGCTGGCCAGCCCCGAAGAGTGTATTTTCAGAACAAGCAACAAAAGCCCTACATTTTTATAAGTCTGACCTAATTATAAAAATTTATAATAGTGCACATACAATGTAAATTCAGTATTCAAAGCAGAACATGTTTTCAATCTTATCTGGGGTCCCACAATGCCGAAAGGTCCAGAAACTATATTTAACCAAAGAACATAATAAACCAGACTAGCACCTAGTTCGTGGCTCTGAAATCAAGGTTGTTGATTTGAAGATTCAGCCCTCAGTGTGGGTCCTGAATTGAGACAAATGCCATTTGAACCTGTTGGATTAGTAGTTTTTACATCTGGAAAATGCCACATTAGGGACTCTGGGCTGTGGGCATTGAGAAGGAGCCTGGGAGTGCTATAAAGCATCCCCCAGGACTGCACATAGGCCTCTCTGCCTCAGCAACATCTGATAAAGTTGAGAGACAGTAACACAATTAAACGACTTACAAACAATGTTTGCTTTCCACTGGCATAAATCTGAAGTGGTTCAGTCTGGAAGAATTAAGCTGTGCGGTTGCTGCCTGCAGAGAGATGTCCTTCGGATTCTGGAAGCCCCAGGAAGAAGTTCTGGGTGTACCAGTACCTAGCTAGTCCTTTTAACTCCATTTAATTGGAAGGAAGCTGGCGGTGGCATGTAGTGTTGGAAGCAGCCCTGCCTTCTTGGACCACCCCGAGCAGTTCAGGTGCTGGCTGTCAGGTTCCCAGAGGATGGAGTAGCCGCCCGCCCTCCATCCTCCACACTCTTAACCACTGTTGGATTGTGACTTCATCCAAACACAGGAAATGAAGGCCTTCAGTTTGTGACCCGTCATAACTAAGCTCTTCATTTGAAACTGCCACTGTCAAATGGGCTTCCTATCTCACTGCTGTCCTCGTGGTTCAGGCTTACAGTAAACACTGTGCCCATTATTTCTGATAAGACATGAAAGCTTGGCCTCCCTGTTGCAGGGAAGAAATCCACAGGCTCTTGTTGTAATCTTGTTTCTCAGACTAGTGTTTCTTCAAACGTTTCCTGATAGTTGAGTTTTGCAACAGGCTTGTCATATAAAATTGAGCCACCTAAGTTTATCTCAAAGTGATTGTCTTCCATGTGCAAAAGGGAGTCGGGGGAAATTATGGTCTGGATGAGACTGCTTGTGGTGTTTAATGGCAGATGGGCCTGAACCTTACCCCACCCCACTCCGTTAGGAAATATAACTTCCTAGAGAAGACAAATCCTATACTTTGAAACATCAGCTTTCAAAGGAGCTTGACAAGAATTTCACTTTGGTTTTTGTTGTTTTTAATTTGTTTAGTTTTGGTTTTCTTGAGACAGAACCTTGCTGTGTAGCCCAGGCTAGCCTGGAGCACACTGTGACTCTCCTGCTACAGCCTCCTCGGTGGAGTTGACCAGTACGGGCCACAATGCCCAGCATCTTGGATTTGGGGTGTTTGGGGCGGGGTGGTTATAACTGCACTCATTCTACAAAAACTACAAATGCTTATCCCATTCCAGCGCTGTTTCTTCACAGATGCCCAGGGTCTAGAAACACTAGACTGTCTGCATTAAAATGTTCACAAGAAGAGAATGGTGCGTCCCCCTTGGTTTGCCACACAGCCAGGTATCGCCTGGGAGTTCCAGCAGGTGGAGAGTCTCTTTCATGCTTGGCCTTAGAAAGCTGCTTTTTGAGAAGCAGGGCCCGCCTCTGCCCTTGTGCCTCAGGGGACTTGAATGCTGGACTCAGCACTCTGAGCAGCCCACTCAGAAGGGTCAGCAAGCGTGGACTGCCTACCTTACCCACACTGCCTCCCTTCTCACTGCACATTAGGAAGGAAGGCCCAGATGCCTGCAGCTACATCTACCCATCTACGACCAGAGTGAGACCCTGCACAGTGTAGTAATTTGAACAGCCCAGAAGAGCCCTCTTGGCTCCCTGGAGTCTCTTCCACTGGCATGACAGCCTACACATACCTTGGGATTGTGGTCATGGGAACCCCTTCCAAGATGCAAAGCTGGGCTGGCTTATAGCAGCTAACTGAGGTGACCAAATTATCCAAATGCCAGAGAAGCTAAGCATCGCACTAGAGCAGGCCGGTGAGGGAGACTGAAAAGAGTGGATGACCTGTCACACTGCCCAGGCGTAGCCAGGCTGGTACTGAGGAGGAAGCAGCTTGAGAGCCGCGAGCATTTATGCAGCCCATGGAGAGAGAAGTAGGACTTGGGGTGTGGCTCTGAGGGAGCAGGTACAGGGCCCTGGGTTTCATCCTGGCACCACAGTTAGCAGGGGCAGAGCGAGAGTAGGAAAGAGCCATTTCAAGAGAATTAGAACCACTGTACTATATTGAATCCACCTACTGGACCTAGCTTCCCATTAAGAATGTTTAGTATTGTTTTCCCTGTTTCAGAGATGAGAAAACAGACTGAGAAATAAGAAAAGGCCACATAGCCGGGCGGTGGTGGGACACCCCTTTAATCCCAGCACTTGGGAGGCAGAGGCAGATGGATCTCTGAGTGTGAGGCCAGCCTGATCTACAGAGTTCCAGGACAGTCAGGGATACACAGAGAAACCCTGTCTCCAACCCCCCCCCCCAAAAAAGGCCACATAGCTAGACACACACACACACACACACACACACATACACACACACACACACACACACACACACACACACACCGCTTAGTCCAAGAGTTCTGGTAAGAGGTGAAGGGAGATTGGGCCTCACAGTCCACACAGTCAAGGCACGTCCTAACTCTCTCCCTCCACGGCTGCATGTTGTTGGTCAAGGACCTCTTCCCTGAAGCAATTGCCCTTCAAGTCTCATGGCCTCGAGCAGAACCCATTGCCTGCGGCCATTTTTTTCTCCTCCACCTGGCATCCTAAGCCGGGAATCAAAGTTAGATTTCCTAACTGTACCTGTATTTTTTTTTCTACTTAATCCCAAATTGGGCCCTCTGTGGCTGGTACTGAAGAGGCTATCAAGGGACCCTTTGGGCTCCCCAACCAGTGGGACTAGATACCCCCAGGAGGAAAGCCAGTCCTAATGAGACACTTGGAGCTGTGTCGGTGAGCTCTGCCATCAACTCATCCTCCTGCTGTACTTCATAAAATCGTTCCTGAGACTTTTTAATGTTTTATTGAGGTGCAAGTTTACGAGGAAGCGAACCTTTCCAACTACAGCAAGAGTAACCTGCCTCCTTGGCATATTAAAAAATAATGTTAGTGTCGGGTTTTACGTCCCACAGTTTGGATTGCTGATAAGAGCGCTTCCCTTGACAAGATTCTTTTTGAGGTTTACAGAAAGCGTAATAAAATATGTAAGTTACATCTCCACAAACAAAAGCTATAACATAAGTTATTTATAAGCGTGAGATACAAACAGTATCACGATAAATAAGCCATAAAGGGTACCTACACCATCCATCTTAATGTAATTTGCCCAACAAAGGGGTTGAAACGAAGTCAAATTCAGTAGAGAAAATTTGTCAGGAAGGAAGCAAATTTGTAGAACACAAAATGGGGGAAATGGCAGGTGGGTGAGGGACAGAAATGGATGTGAGGTGAGGCTTGGAGGTCCCTGAATGAGTGCAGCATATGCTTGCCCAAAGGGACTGTCCCACCCCTCCCCACCATACAGCCTGCCATCTGCACCTAGTCCCAGCTCCAACGCCCTCCAGCAGCACACAGCCCCTGGGAACGGAATATCCTAGTCCCTTCCCTCTAGTCCTGTGGCCTCATGCTACTGCCGCTCCATGGTCTGAAACTGACCAAGCCCCAGGATCCTAGGAGCCCTTCATCTGCTCCAATGGTTGTCATCCTGTGGGTCGTGTAAACTTTGGCAAACCTCTATCTTAAAAAAAAAAAAAAAAAAAAAAAAAACCATTGTAATTCATAACAGTAGCAAACTAACAGTTAAGAAGTAGCAACGAGCCGGGTGGTGGTGGCCCACGCCTTTAATCCCAGCACTTGGGAGGCAGAGCCAGACGGATCTTTGTGAGTTCGAGGCCAGCCTGGTGTACAGAGCGAGATCCAGGAAAGGCGCAAAGCTACACAGAGAAACCCTGTCTCGAAAAAAAAAAAAAAAAAAAAAAAAAAAAAAGAAGTAGCAACGAAAGTAATTTTATGTTTGGGAGGTCACCACAGCATGGGGGAACTGTATTAAAGGGTCCCAGCGTTAGGAAGGTTGAGAACCGATGGTCTCCTTTACTCATCCACGAATGAGACCAAGTCTTTGCCCTCTCGGAGCTGGTGGCTGCATCACCAAGTCGGCTGCAGCCCAGTCCAGTGAGGACCGGAAACGGATAGAGAAAGAAGTCTGGGTCCAGGGGTGCTTTGGAGGATGAGAGAGCTGAGAGCTGGCCTGGATCTTGATGCAAAGGGTCCAGCCATGGATTGAGCTGGAAGAGAAGCCTGAACAGAATCTAGAAATTCCTGGGCCCCAGTTCCCATCCTTCCTTCTTTATTCCCTCATCTACCCTAAGGAGATGCCATGGTTTCCTACCACAAATTGAAAGACCCTCCAGGAAGCAAAGCCCTGCACTGAGCCCAGAACATGGACTTGGGTGCCCTAAAAGAGCTCCCAGGCCAGCAGGAGAGGCAGACAGCAGCCCCCCACAACAGCCCTCACCTCTACATCTGTCTCTTTTACCCAGACCACCCCAGGAGTAGAAGTAGTTAAGTCAAGGAAAAGTGGGCCTCATGGTCCACTTGGTCCAAAGATGGCCCAGCTCCAGGCCTCCCCAGCAGCAGGTGCTGAACAAGCACCTCTGTGGTGAGGCCTTGCATGCCCACCACCTAGGGCCCCTTTTCCTTCCTCCAGCTGGCAGCCTTGAGCCTTTTCCAATCCCCCAGGCACTTTCTTCCCAGACCCTCCCCACTGTGGCAAACTGATAAGGACTCAAATTTCACTGCTCCTACTATCAGAGAAAGTAAGTATGAAAGTCTGGATAGCTAGGAAATTTGAGTATGTGCTCAGTAAATACTTGTTGGATAAACTGGGGCAGTTGTCATTTTCTATTCTAAAGACTAGAAGGACCCTAGGGCTCCTACATAGGATGTGTAGTAAGCAGGTCAGCAACTTGTAACATGATGTGTGTGCCGAAGCATGTGCTTATGCCTTTTATGGAAGTAGACCGTAATATTTCCCTCAATCTTTCAAATAGGATAACTGGCCCAAATACACTTAAGGGCCTTGATTCAATCCCTACTCCATTTTAAAGACAGGAAAATTGAATCCCAAATCACACAGGAAGTCGATGGCTGAAGAATCTGAGCTGCCTGCATCCAGACTCATGGACCACTTGGAAACTGCAGCATCCTGCCACTCATTCCTGAAGCCCCAAACATTCTACAGGACTCTCAGCAAGACCACCTTTTCTCCCAGCTTCACTCCCTGGGGACCAGGAGAAGATGCATGCAGCCTGGAAGTCCCTAGATCCCCAAGGACCCCTGACCCCAGTTCCCTAGCTTTCAGAACCTCCATTTTTTGAACCTCTCTCTCTCTTCAGTGCTTGTACCCTCTCCCCCACTTCGGTGTTGAATTAATAGCAGGTACAAAAGAGCAGCAACTTCACCGTTTCTGGAACACCAAAAACAGATCAAAACATGCTTGGCCAAACCAGGCTCAAAGGAGACAATTGCCTTGAGTGTGTTTATGTAAAGAGGGGGGAGGAAGGAATTTTGACAAAGTAAACTTTAAGCACAACAAAGAAGAAATTAATTTTTAAAAAGTAAAAGCAAGACAAAACATTTATGGAAAAGATGACTCAAAGAAAAAATTAACAGATAACAAGGGGGTGGGCATGTAGCTCAATTGGTAGAGTGCTTTTCTAGCACTCACAAAGCCCTGGGTTCAATTCCTGGCCCCACATGAGCTGGGCATTCAAGAGGTAGAGGCCGGAAAGGTCTTTCTCAGCTACATTGACACCAGCATGGACTACATGAGACCCTATCTCAAAAACAAACAAGCAAAACCAGGGTAATGAGCCTGGCAGAGTGGAACATTCCTGTAATCCTAGCACTTGAGAAACTGAGAGTTAATGAGTTTGGGAGCCAGCCTGGGCTCAAAATAAAAGAAGATAATGAAATGAAGTTTGCTTGTCCACCAGTCCTGGAGATTGAGCCCAGGGCCTTCCCCATGTTAACTAAGGGTTTTACCACTTATCTATATCCCATCAAGGGCATTTTCCAAGACCAATAAAACAGACTTTTTTAAGCAAGTGTGACCCATAAACAAACACAAAAATGTAAGAGAGGGTAAGCAGGAGCTGCCAATCCCAACATTTATTTCCTGGTACCTTTGAAAGCTGAAAGAGATGGACAGGACTGGTTTCCACCAGACTCAGTAGGTGGCTTGTTAGCAGACTGCTGAACCCCACCCAGAGTTCCTGACACGGGGGCTCCCCAGGATCCAAGAATGCCATTTCTAACAAACTGCCCAGTGCTGCAGACCCGGCCGGCCGGCCGGTTCAGAACCACTGGCCATGACTTCGACTGACTTACTCCCCCTCCCTGGCTGCCAAAATGCCCTCCTTTGTCCAAGGAAGAATAGAAGGGGGTTGTGATCAGCAGCTCAGAGCTCTGGGTGACTGAGGACCCGGAGCCCTAGAGAGGTGAGACAGTCCTCACCCCTGCTGGGCGCCAGGCTAATGCTTTCCATGGGACCAGCTGGTACAAACGGTACCGCTGCTACACAAAGAAACTGAGGCACAAAGAGGCTCAAAGCTTCTGAGTAAACCGAGAGGTTCCTACACTTGCCCTGGAAGCAGTGCTGGCCATGCCAGCCATATCCTGGTCATCTTGTTCCGAGGACCTTTTGGCTACAGCCTGTTGGGCATTTTCCCAGCTCCTGGAAGTGTCCAGGCCTGGAACCCAAGGCTAGGCAGGCAGGAACGGAGATGCAGTGCAGTGCCAACACCAGCCCTCACATCTGGACCCAAGTGATCTGAGCATCACCTCAGTTAAGGCCCTGCCCTCCCTGGGTGAGTGGGTAATTAGTGCCATCCCTGACACATAGAGTTCTCAAGGACAAGAGAGTCACCTCTGTCCTTAAAGGTACTATTATATAATCCGGAGTGTGACTGTCGGGAGTGGCATTTCTTACAGCCGCTTCCAAATGTTATTTCATTTTGTTCTCATGGCTACCCTGGGGGTAGCTACTCCCCTCTCTGTTTTACAAATAAAGCAAATGAGGCTGGAGAAGGAAAGCAGGGAGCCCAGAAGTCCTCAGACCTCCAGCAGCGGTGCCTGCATTAGAAGTGAGAGGCCCCCAGAGTCAGCACAATAGTATCTCCTATCTAAAGGTCCTTGTCTCGGCCAGGGCATCCCACGCTCCTAAACTCTCACTGTTTCCGGGCCTCCCTACCACAACCCTGCACAGTGGTTCTGCCAGGGCCAGCAAAGCTGCCCAATGTCACACAGCTGGCGGCTGACCTAACTGCCCACTAAGGCCTAGAGGAGTTACAAAGCCTGAGTCGTCTGGTTTGTTGAGAGCAATGAGAATGAGAATTTAAAAGCTCACTGCCTCCTTCCTGTACTCTGACCCTATAGGTGAAGAAATACACTGATCCAAGACACCTTTACAAAATAAAAACTACCAACAAAACGAGCCATACCATAATAGAATACACCATCCATCACATTGGGCGTGGGACTGGAAAGGGTGCTGACCGATTGTGCTGCCCTACTAAGTGCAGGGCTCTATGCTCTTAGCACTCTCGATATCTCTCTCACCGTGCACGAACCCTCTGCATGCTTTACCCCATTTTACAAATGAAAATCCAAAGCCAAAAATGATGGAGTCACTAGCTCAAGCTTACTCGGCTAGGAAGTGGCCCGCCCAAATCTGCACACAACTTCTGACCAACTGCACAGAGACCGCTTGGGGTCTACACACTCTGGGAACGAGAGAAAGAGCCCTACCGGGAGGGAGTTCAGCGCTCAGAAATTACAGCCAACGACTTTACGACCTGCCGGCTAGGAAAAAGACTCTGGGTCTCACCTAGGCAGGGAGAAAGGTGACCGCGCCCCGTGTGGTGCTGGCCACGGTGCTGCCCTGCCGGGATGATGTGGACAGTCCCGGAGGCGACAGCAGAACTTGGGGTGGTCAGCGCCTGGGCTGATCTGGAGCTGGCAGGAGACATTTCCTTATGAAATGTCTCCATTTGCTCTAAATGGGAACTGCCCCCTCCTGTACCACTAGCGAACTGAGGTCCCCAAACCTGCTGACCCTCGGAGGGATCCCCAAGCTCTGGACCACAGCCTCGTCTATCCCGCAACGAATTTTGAGGGTCCGGATCCCAGCTCCCCACCAAATGACCTCAGGTCCCTAGTCCAGCTGCGCCCGGCACGCGTGGGCACCTGCGAGTCACTGCTCAGTCCTCCTGGCTGGGGCCAGGGAGCGTCTCCAAAGTGGCCGCGACGCCTCGTTGGAAGCCGGGGAGGGGGCGAATTCTCCCCACGCGGGTGTCCTCGGTGGCGTGGAGAACGCTCCGGTGCTCTCCTTGATCCACGCGTGGACAGCTCCAAGCTTGCACCCCACGAAGCGACGCTTTCGTTGCCTCGGCGGAGGGCGAGCAGCCCAGAGGCTTCCGCAGATTTCGTAGGACCGTTCTTGGGTTGCATCTCCATTGTAACTGAAGATTCATTTTGTTTGGGGTTTGCTCAGATGAAAAAATTTAGAAGACAACGAAAATCCCCGCGGCAAAAGCCATTTCCCTAGCAGCGCTCCTGCCGGCGGGTGAGGCGGCGGGAAGCAGCCGGGCCCGAAGTGGGGAGCGTCTGCTAATTGCAGCTTCGTTAGATTTCGGGTTTGAGAGGCTGCGGTTCGGGCGCTAATATCCGCCGCCCATTATCCCGGCTAATAAATTTGACCTATTGTTCGTTTGTTAAAATGATGTCACCTTGGAACAGTCCCTAAGCTCCTATTTCCATGAATTAGGCCTTTATTGAAAGCCGAGAGCCAATGAGAGGAGAGAGGCTTGTTGATCGCAGCCAATGGCTGCGGCGGGAGAGGAATTAGCAGCGGAAACTCCAGGTTCGGTTCAAGAAAGATGACACAGAGCCTGTCGGGCCCGCGCACTCTTGGCAAAGTTTCAGTGCGACTGGAGGCGCCGGGCGCTCCATGGCCGCGCCGTAACGGGGACCCAGCCGCCTCCCCGCCCAGCCCAGCCCAGCCCTTCCGCCCGCCCAGGATGGAGGCGCCCGCCAGCGCGCAGACCCCACACCCGCACGAGCCCATCAGCTTCGGCATCGACCAAATCCTCAACAGCCCGGACCAGGACAGCGCGCCCGCCCCGCGGGGCCCCGACGGCGCCAGCTACCTGGGAGGGCCCCCCGGGGGCCGTCCGGGCGCCGCATACCCATCTCTGCCCGCCTCCTTTGCGGGCCTCGGCGCGCCCTTCGAGGACGCGGGATCTTACAGTGTCAACCTAAGCCTGGCCCCCGCTGGCGTGATCCGGGTGCCAGCTCACAGGCCGCTACCCGGGGCCGTGCCGCCGCCACTGCCCAGCGCGCTGCCCGCCATGCCCTCCGTGCCCACGGTCTCCAGCCTGGGCGGCCTCAATTTCCCCTGGATGGAGAGCAGCCGCCGCTTTGTGAAGGACCGCTTCACAGGTGAGCAGAGCGGGCCACCAGGAGCCAGGCCTCGGCCCTCTGGGGGCCAGGGGCGCCGCGCCCTGTGCACTCCACTCCCAGGAACGATTTCAGAGGCCCAGGCATGGTGGAGGCCTCGGCTCCCAGGGCTCGGGGCGGCCGTGGAGGGGAGGGTAAATCGGAGAGTTGCGGGAAAAAGAAACCAGCGTCCCCGGGAAGGGAAGGGTGTCCCTGCCTGGCTTGGCGCCGCCGGGGACACGCGGGACGAGCGAAATAGCGGAGCACTGTGTCCCACGGGGCTCCACGTGCGGCCTGAACGGTGGTGGGGCTGGGCTTCAAGGGGCCTCATGTGTCTCTGCAGCGGCGGCCGCGCTCACGCCCTTCACCGTGACCCGGCGCATTGGCCACCCCTACCAGAACCGGACGCCGCCCAAGCGTAAGAAGCCGCGCACGTCCTTTTCCCGGGTGCAGATCTGTGAGCTGGAAAAGCGCTTCCATCGCCAAAAGTACCTGGCCTCGGCCGAGAGGGCGGCGCTCGCAAAGTCCCTCAAAATGACAGACGCGCAGGTCAAGACCTGGTTCCAAAATCGGAGGACCAAGTGGCGGTGAGAGAGGCCCGCCCGGCCCTGCCCTTCACCTGCCCCGCCCTACGCCTGCAGCCCAGCATCCTGCCCTCTCCTGTGCTACCCCCTGCCCGCGCTCCCTGGACCACACACCTCCCTTCTTTTCCAGATTTGTTGTCCTTCCTTCCTATCGACCTGTATTCCTCTCTCCATCATCTCCCATGCTTCGGCGTCTACATTTCCAGCCCCATGTCGCCAGTGTTTTGTCTCGCCTCTTTTGCTCGTTTGGGTTCCTCCCACCTGCCCCCCACCACACACATCCCAGGCCTCCCACACTCTCCTCCCTCTCCCGATCCAGCCCACCCACTCGGATTTCGGATTGATAGCCAAGGCGGTAGGGTCCTCACTCCAACTCTGTTTTTTTGGTTTTTTGCTTTTTGTTTTTATATACGATCCTTGCTTCCATCCAACCCGTAAACGACGAAGCGATGTGTCCTAGAGAGGGCTTCAGGACAGTGCCTGGGAGAATCTTATCAGACTGACCCCATCCGGGGCCGCCCAGCTGGTGGTGCACAGCCAGCCAGTCCACCCGTGGGCCCAAGTGACCCCACTGGCCGCAGGGCCGAGTCAGTTATCCATTGCCCTGCCGTTGTTATCCCGCAGGGGGTAACAAAACACACACAAAAAAAACAAGATTTATTGTTGGCGAAGCCACAAAATCCGAGTGTGCAGGTGGACGGCGGGCAGAGTGCCCTCCCAGCGCCCCCGGGGTGCACAAACAAAACCCAGCGGTCCCACCCGCTCTTTCGCCCCGCGGGCCTCGGGGAAAGTGTGTGCGGGCGGCGGGCGGCGCCTCGCCTCGAGGGGCTAAGCTGCCCCTTTCCCGGGAGGGCTGGGGCCCGCTGGTGGCCTAGCAATGCCCAATGCGTGACGGTGCTGTCCCTCTCCCTCCCCGGGTGCAGGCGGCAGACGGCAGAGGAGCGGGAGGCGGAGCGGCAGCAGGCGAGCCGGCTCATGCTGCAGCTGCAACACGACGCCTTCCAGAAGAGTCTCAACGACTCCATCCAGCCCGACCCACTCTGTCTGCACAACTCTTCGCTCTTTGCTCTGCAGAATCTGCAGCCCTGGGAGGAGGACAGTTCCAAGGTCCCTGCTGTCACCTCGCTGGTGTGAGCCGCCGGCGCGCACCGTAGCTACGGATCGCCGCCCCCACCAGGCGGGGCGCCCGGGTCCCCCAGCCGGGCTGGGGAGGGAAGCTGGG